CTATGACCAGTGTGATTTTGCAATCTGTATAATTAGAAAAATGAGAAATTATACCCCAATGATTCAAATGTATGAATCAGCAAGATCATTGTAATGTCATGTGTAGCTAATAAAAAAAGTTAAAAAAAAAAGAAATAATAGAAGTCAAAAAACATTAGACAGGGGCTGGGGCTGGGGTCAGTGGCAGAGCACTTGCCTCGCACATGTGAGGCACTGGTTCTATCCTCAGCACCACATACAAATAAATCAACAAAATAAAGTTTTTTTAAAAAAATTAGACAGACATCTTTAAAGGGCTAAAAGAAAGATTTAAAAACATATCAACCTAGAATTCTATATCCAGCACAGTTATCCTTAAAAAATGAAGAGGAAACCAAGACATTTTAAGGTCAAACCAGAAAACCAGTAGTAAGATAACAAACATAAATCCAACAATACCAATAATTATGTTAAATATTAAATAAAAGAGATTCTCCAATTAAAAGGCCCAAACCTACTATGAAAAAGACAACAGTACATTGTCCGTAGTTGACAAACATGAAATAAATAAATAAATAAATCCAACAAAAAGGAAGCGCATTCGCTGGCAGTCAAGCACCACGAGATATGCCCAGTGTGCTCTTCAGGCTGAAGGGAATGAGATCAGATGGAAACTCCRATCTTTAGGATAAATGTGAGCAGCAGAAATGGGGGAACAGTTGGTAAATATAAAATGTCATTTCCCCCCTTCATTCATTAAAATGTCTTTTTTAAAATACAAATATAACAAGGTCCTGTGGATTTAATAAGAATGTGGGTATAGTAGCACAAGTGTAACAACTGCAGTATTAAGTCCAGGTGGACTCAGATGGTTGCAAGAAACACTTCACAGGAAGTGCAATGCTGTTAGCTCAAGGGAGACTAAAAAGTCAGTGGTAGAGGATGTGCTCTTTAGAGCAACCACTACAAAATATTGCAAAGAAACAGAGTTAAAAAAGCAAATAGAGAAAATCTAAAAGGTTAAATTAACCCATGTAAAGCAGAAAAGCAACAAAAGATCAAAACATTAATGGGAAAACCAGAGTAAGAAAACAAACATAAATCCAACAATACTAATAATTATATTAAATATTAAATGAAAGAGATTCTCCAAATATAAGGCCCAAACCAACTATGGAGAAGTATATATCAATATACAGACAACTATACATTGTCTGCAGTTGACAAATATTAAATAAAAAACAGAAATAAAAGGCAAATGGATGGAAAAAGATAAACTATAGAAAWAATAAGCGTAAGAATATGGGAATGGGCACATCAGTATGAGATGAAGTAGTCTTCCAGATAAAAGGATATTATCAAAGATCAAAAAGTCATTTCATAATCATTAAGGGGACAATATGTCAGGAAGACAAACTGATCATTAATGAATATTAGCTCAATAAGAGAGCTTCAAAATTCAAGAAGCAAGCTTTTGCTGAATTGTTTCATCTTCATTTTTGAAGGACAGTTTTGCGGGACATAGAATTCTAGGTTGAGAAACAGATAAATCCACAATAATATGCAGAGGTTTTTAACAACCCCCTTCTGAATAATTTTCGAAAAAAGATTTTAAAAATCACAACAAAACAAGGTGTGGTGGCACATGCCTATAAACCCAGAGACTCTGGAGGCTAAGGCAGGAGGATAGTGAGTTCAAAGCCAGCCTCAGCAATGGTGAGGTGCTAAGTAACTCAGTGAGACCCTGTCTCTAAATAAAATATAAAATAGGGCTGGGGATGTGGCTCAGTGGTTGAGTGACCCTGAGTTCAATCCCCAGTACCCACCCTCCCACGCACAATGAAACAGACATGATCTGAACAATACTATCAACTAACTTGACCCATTAGGTACTTAAAGATTACATTGAAATCCTAAAATATACTGCCTGGCCATAATAAAATTAAACTAAAATAACAATACAGTATCTAGGAAAACCTCAATTTTAAAAAATTTGTTTTGGTGCAGTGCTGGGGATTAAACCAAGAGCCTTACACAGGCTTGACCAGTGCCTACCACTGAGCTACACTCCAAACCCCCAAATATTTTAAAGTTAAACAATACTTCATGAGTCAAAAAGAAATCATAAATAACTTTATAAAAATTTTAAAGCTCAATTAAGTGAAAACATATTTTAAAAGGTATGGGAGCTGAATGTGGTAGTACACTTCTGTAATTCCAGCGGCTCAGGAGGCGTACACAGGAGGATTGGAAGTTCAAAGCCAACCTCAGCAATTTAGTGAGGCCATAAGCAACTGAGTAAGATCCTGTCTCAAAAATTTAAAAAGTGAGAAATGGATGGGGATGTGACTCAGTGGTTAAGTGCCCCTGGGTTAAATTGAGAGAGAGAAAAAAAAGAGGGAGAGAACGAAAGGAAGGAAGGAAGAAGGGAGGAAATGAGGGAGGGAGGGAGGGAGGGAGGAAAGGGGTATAGATATAGTAAAAATTTTCTTAGAGCATTACAATTATACTGAGTAGGTGGGTTCAGTGTGACAACGCCATACATATATGGAATTTGATTTCCTCCATTTCAGTCCTGGTTACCATCTTTTCCGCTTCTTCCCTCCCCCATTCTCCTTCTTCTACTCTATCAATCTTCCTTTATTTATTTATATATACATATTTATATATACATAAAGGTGGAATTCTCTGTGCCATATTTATATGAGGCATGATTTTATTAAATTCACTCCATATTTCTAGAGGAAAATTCATATGTTTAAATGATTGTATTAGAAGAAGAGTATATAATCAATAACCTAAGTTTTGCCCTTAGGTAGCTAAAAAAAGGACTCAAAGTAGAATGAAGAAAACAATAAGCAGGGGCTGGGGATGTGGCTCAAGCGGTAGCACGCTCGCCTGGCATGCGTGCAGCCCAGGTTTGATCCTCAGCACCACATACAAAGATGTTGTGTCTGCCGAAAACTAAAAAAAAAAAAAAAAAAAATTTAAAAAATTCTCTCTCTCTCTCTCTCTCTATCTATAAAAATAAAGAAAACAATAAGCAGATAAACAATAGGGAAAAACTGACAAAAGCTAAAGTTGGTTCCTTTTAAAAGTCAAAAGAATTGATAAATTTTTAGTCAGAATGATTCAGGAAAGTGGAGGGGGGCCATACAACACAAACTCCTAATATCAGTAATAAGGGAGGAATATCCCTAGACAAGCTTCAACATTAAAGTAATAATGAGATATTAAAAACAACATTAGGCCAATAATTTCAACAATTTAGATGAAGTGAACAAAGTTTTTGAAAAAAATACAACTTATCAAACTGACACAAGATGAAAAGGAAAACATTGATAGTCTAATACGTATAACTTTCTCACCTCTAGGTTCCAAGCCCTCTACTCCATCCTGCCATCACTGCTTGACTCATTTTGATCCCCATATTCACAACTTGCACAATTCTGTTCATGAACATACCCCTGCCTCTTTTTCATGCCAATCTTCTATCACCCTGCAGCACATTCCTGAATTCTAATCATGGTACCATCTCTCAGATATGCAAATCTGCTACAACTCATACCTTCTTTCACATGTCCCTTGGCATCAATGCCATTCTATTCCTGGCCAAATCTTGCCAGTGCTTCAGAGTCCACCTGGATCTAATCCCCTGTAGGAAGTTTTCATTTTTGAGGCTATTCCCAGCCCTCAGGGTCTCTCTTCTAGGAATTCCATGGCAACACATCACTATCATTGTTTTTGAGGGAGGACTTTGGTGTCCTGCATATTTGTCTTATTTTTCTAACTAAATTATTAGCTCTTTAAAGATAACGATTTTTTAAAAAGTTCTCTGTCCCTTAAAGCACATATTAAGCATTCAATAAATATTTGTAAAATATTTGCAAAAAACTGTTGAATGGATATATAAAGTCAAGATCCTATTTCTGTGGCTCTTGTCAGACTCTCATACCATCTGTAAGGCTTTCTCCAACAACTAGCCAAAAAACATATGATTAAAATAAGTAGAGGTAAAGGAAGGGAGAAGTAGTGAGTGACCAAATTACAAGAAGAGATGGGGATGCTTGGTTTCAGCAAGCATAATAATTAAAATGGGGCTGAGTTTCACATCCTGCTGCCACCAGTATCTGATAGGCATGCACTGATACCATCAAGTCATTTTCTCCTTGTCTTCGCCCCACCCTGAATCCTTRTGGGCACAGAATGAACCAGGGGCTCCAGACAGCTTATACTTCCAAGCACATCTGTATGTGCCATTCATTATATACCCACATGTGTTTGGATAACAAGAGATATAACAATATCTTCTAAAAACCAGTTACCAATTACTGCTGGTCTCTTACCACTACATATAAACTATTTCAAACTGTAAATGTCTTTACTGTAACCAAGTACTAGCAAAATGGTGACTGCAAACCTATCTTTTAATCTTTCACAAAATAATTTTGCATTATACTAAAATTAACAATAGCTTTTATGAATACAGATAATTCTGAGTAAAAATACATTTTCTGTGGGGTTAGGTAAAGAAATTACTATAAGCAAAAATTCTCTCCAGTTCTCTTGCACTGRTCACTTCTTAGTAGCATCTCTTTCATTTAAATCAAAATAGCTTATATCATCTTCATTTCCCCTTCTCTCTAATTAGATAAATCTGGTTGCTCTTCTCTGTAGACAGATTAAAAGGTTGGGGTGAGGGCTGGGGTTGTGGCTTAGCAGCAGAGAGCTTGCCTAGCATGTGTGAGGCACTGGCTTTGATTCTCAGCACCAAATGTAGATAAATAAAATAAAATAAAATCAGCAACTAATAAAAATATTTTTTAAGAAAGATGGGGTGTTTTGTTTTCCTAGTGTTTCAGAGTCCAATCCTCAGAGCAATGATAACAGGAAGGGTGGGGTGGTTCCAGGGGAACCTATCTCAAGGAAAGACAGCACACACTATAAGAGACAGTGGGCTGCTCCAGCTGTTTCCAGCGCATGACATTGACCCAGGGTCTTGCAAACAACCTGCTCCTTACCCAGATTGGAGGAGGCGCGCCCCTCTGCTGCCCGATCCTTGAGGTCCTCAGCTATGCCCAGCTGCTGCTCGTGGTACTGTTTCGCTCTTTCCAAATCCTGCATGCACCTGGCGGCGTGGCCCAGGCCTGCGTAGGCCCGCATCTCGATGGCCTTCTCCATCAGCTCCTGCGCCAGCTCCAGCACGTAGTTGTGGTAGGACATGGCCTTGTCGAAGTTCCTKCGGTAATGGTAGGCGCTGCCCAGATTGCTGTAGGCCCGGGCCTCTTCCCGCTTGTTCCCCAGCTCCTTGGCTATCTTCAGGTGCTGCTCGTGGCACTGCACGGCGTTCTCAAAGTCGCCCATGGCAATATACACAGCTCCCATGTTGCCAAGTTCTCGGGCTTCGGAAAGCTCGTCTTTGGACTGCTTGGCGAGAAGAACACACTGTTTGTGACTGGCCAGTGCATTGGGGTAGTCTCCGATGGCTGTGTACACGTGGCCCAGACTGCTCAGGGCTGACGAAGCTGCCTGGAGAGAAAGGATAAGGCAAGAAATGAAAGCACATCAGAAAATGGCTTTGGTTTGTTTCAGCAGATAAAATTTCACAGAGTTTGCCTGTAACTATCAATCCAGTCCCTAATGGAGTTTCTATCAGTGGGCCACAGACCTCCAGAGAACTGATAAAGAGCACATCCAACACCAAGTTCCCAGCAGAAGACAATGGTAATTTAATCAGGAGCTTTCCATGCCTAATCTCACAGAAGCAGGTTGTGTTCCATATGACCTTTGTCTTAGTTTAAAGACTTGGTGACATTTCTAATATTCACTATGATATTACAGCTCTGTTAATACCCATTAACCTCTGTGCTATAAGAAAGTGTTGAAGAAAACCAAAATTAATTACTACATATGACAGAGTGTAGGACATTCACAGGAGAAGCCTGGGCTTGGCTTGTGGCCCTCCTGGGTGATTCTGTACTCTGGTTTTCTGCGAAGCAAATGGATGCATTAGTGGTGAGGGAGATGTTCACCATGAGGACTGAGAATTTTGCAAACCAGGACCCACTTGAAGGTCCTGATTTCTCATCTTGTTCCTTCAAAGGACTTTATCGGTGCTGGTTACTGTGGAGGGCTTAGATTTGGATGAGTCTCCTTGTAAATCAATGGCTGTGTTCCAACCTGTGCCTCTGAATGGGGTGGTCTCCTTTATCCTCCATGAAGCCTCCCTGCCCTCCTTAGGCTCACCACCCAAAGAAAAGCACAGAAACCCTTTTGGTCTTAAAGGTTTCAATGAAAATAACTCTGTGTCAGTGTAGCGGATCACACAGGAACTATGAAAATATCACAGGAGAGGTACACAAGCACATACAGTCCTAGAGCCTGGTCTTCAGTTTCTAACTCCTTTGCAGAGGTATGACAGGGAAGTTATGCTGGGCTTTTTAACTCCTTCTTTTCATTCCACAAGTTGGAAGCTTCCTCCCCTCCCCTCCTTCACTGCCAGTCTACAGCTTAGGGCCATGTCACCCCCTCTCTTCATGATGCTTCCCTCTGAAGCATGGAAACCAGACCCTGGCGGAACAAAGGCTGAACTCTCACACATGGGCAAGAAATCTTCCCCAGGGCCCCGGGCACAGGACTAGCCATGAGGTAATGCTGTCCCTGCTGAGTAAGGGCATTTCTTTGTGGGAAGGGTTCTATGTTTGTGCACTTCAGGACACTTTTATTAATATTTTATAGATATGAGTGATTTGCTACCCTGTTTCCTTTGCTTGTGAAATAGCAGTTCTTGATCAAAATGACTGAGACACCATTTTTATGGGGCTTGCAAATAGTATATTTGCAAAATCTTCCATATTGTTCTAAGTTGCTTTTATCATTTCACAGATGTTCCAACAAAAAGATTTAGAAAATAGAGAGGAAATACATCCTTAGAAATTTACTWTTTTTGCTTTCTTCTGAGTGGAGAGAACAGAAACAGCTCCATGAGAGTCACAATGCTGCAGCGCTGTGATCTGGCAGAAGCAGCACTGGTGACACCAAATGGCATGCCACTTGGACCACACTGGCCACGGGTTCCCACGGGAGAGCCCTTGGGGCTGAGCTTAGGACTTCGGGTCAGCAGTCTAGACAGGCATCTGCTGCTCCCAGCCTTTCCCCTGCACCACCCACTCACCCACCCGACCATCTTCTCTTCCTGTGCTTTAGGCCCAGGACTCGGCCTCTTCCCTCTGCTTCAGTGGTTAGCTCTCCCAGCCTTATTCTCCCCAAACCCTCCCCCCCTCAGCCCTTTGTCACCCTCACAGTAAAACACCAGGGCTCTTTTGCACGAGCAAGTGGCGCACAGTCACACCCTGGTTCAGAGCTGCGCTGCCTTCCCCTGGCTGGAGCCACTTAACATCGCTAGGCCCAGCCGCGAGCCAGGAGCCTCTGTCAAACGCACAAACCATAAATAATTCACTAGATCGCTCCCACAGTAGCTCCTGGAGGCAGTGAGCCGGGGRCGCCGGGATGGGTTACAGGCCCCGGGCAGCTCCACACCCGGCGGGCATCGCCATTCTCAGGAACTTCTGGGTTATGGCACTCCAAACGACGGCCCGGGGAGCCTCTGCTCTGGTCCTTCATTTCTCCAATGCCAGGGAGACACAGCACTCACTTAGGGGAGCTCTCCGAACATAAGGACAGGGAATTCTGGGGCATCTCCCTTCTAGGGAGGGGAGAGGAGGGAAGGACCAGCCAGGAGCTCTTTCCTGATGCTGTCAGGTGGGTGTCCTGCAAACCAGCATCGCTACCAAGGACCATGGAACTGAGGAAGCAAACACCACAGCCCCTGAGACCAGAGGGGCAGCTTGGCACAGGGGAGGAGTGGACAGGATTTGGTGTCAAGGCCCTGGCTGTGACACCCTAATAAGTCATTTTAACCTATTTAACTTGCTTTCTTTATTTATAACATGGCACTTGATGACAATACCGTCCATACTCCACAGGGCTGGGAGGGGATCAGATGAGGCTGGGAGCCCGAGTGCTCTGTGAAGGCATTGCTAAGGGGTGCACGGTGTCTTATGAAGGCAAGCTGCCTGGGCTGGGCTCTGTTACCTGAAAACATCAGTCACTGTGACCAAACATCTATATTCCTATCAGTCGCCACAGGAAATGAAGTCCAGGTTTTACAGCTCAGGGCAAATAACATGTGATGGTATTTATCAGCTAAGTGAATTACAAATTAATCACTTGTCTTTGTTCCTGTTGCTGTAGAATAAGTGTAGATCTGAAACATGGTTTCAGGCTGTTAATGAGGATCTGAAGACCCACTATCGATAGGGAATCACGGGCCCCACCTCAAGCAGATGCTGCATTTGCCACCAAGGTTCACGCTGCCTTTGTATATTAATCTCTCTGAGATTTTTGTGCTAGAATAGCAGCAGCTGCTTCCCACAGTGGAAACATTTTGGAACATCTGTATTTGAATACTAAAATGCATACAAACAGTTATGCTAACAAACTATCTGGCTGGAGTAAGACAATGGCTTTCTCTTTGTACAGACAGAAATTACTCATGCTCCTGCCTAAGCTCCATTTCCAGCTGCAGACTGAACACAGAGGAGTCAGGAGCCCCTCGCTCTGTGACCTCAATATTTGAGATGAACTGCATCTGACAAGTTAGTTTCACGGGACCTGAATCTAGAGCCGGAAATTTGCTCATATTTCATCCATCCACCTTTAAGGGGTTTTAGTTGGAGAAATAAAGTTCAAACTGCCCCAAACTATAACCACATTGATGGCACTACCATTAACCATCGTCTGAAGATTTAAACATGTTTTTCTTTCCTCTTAGCATGTTTTCCCCTGTACAATATATATTTTTTATTAAAGTTTTATTGTGCGGGAGATTAAATGCACAGTAGTATTATATGGAAAATAATCTGTATAATTGCTGATTGACTCAATTGCATGTAGTTGGAAAAATGGGAAATGTACTGGCTGCTAGTACTAGAAATATTTTTTTCATTTTTACTGCCCAAATCCACATGCACCATGCATGTAGACAGAGGSACACAGAAACTCAGGGATACTCTGGAATCAAGCATGCAAAGGCTCAAATAGCACAATGTGTGATAAGGCACATCATGGAGCATCTCTGAGCCTTGGTTTCCTCATCTGTAAAATGGGAATATTAATATTAGAGGCTTGATAGGCTTAAAATAAATCAGTATTTGTAAAGAGCCTCATTCATGGCTTATTATGTAGAAGATGCTCAAATATTTTAGTTTTGAGTTTCTCTTCTTACTCCAACCAAAATAATACCCACTTAGCTTTATTCATTTCAGAGATGTGGTAGAAGATGATCAGGAAATAGAACATGAAGTTCTGTTACCACAACTAAAAAGACCACCCATGGTAGGAAAGTCATCATCTTCATATACGAAGGCTGGCATGCCTTCAATTAGTCTTCTGCAATCATATTCATGAGAAAATTCACCCCTTGCTTAGGGACATCTTAGGATCATTTGCACATCCAACACATGGTMTTAGTAAACACTTTATTTCAAGTGGTTTAAGCTCTGGAGTATTTGGAGTCTGCTGGTTGGTTGGGACATCTGTTCATTCATTCATTCACGCAGTCAAGAAAATTCTCTATACCCACACAAATATCATGAACTAATTTTGTCGAAGGAACAGGGGTAATTCAACAGAGAAGAATATGTTTCAAGAAATGGTACTGGAGCAACTAAATCTCACATGCCAAGAAAAGATTCTATATACAGGCCTCATACCTTTCACAAACATTAACTTGAAATGGATCACAGACCCACATATAAAATGCAGAATTATAAAACTTTGAGAAGATAACAAGAGAAAATCTAGGTGACCTCTGGTTATTAGATATAACATGAAAGAAAAAAAATTAGTAAGTTAGACTTTATAAAATTAAAACCTTATGCTCTGCAAAAGACACTGTTAAGGGGCTGGGGTTGTGACTTAGTGGCAGAGTGCTCGCCTAGCACATGGGAGGCCCTGGGTTCAATCCTCAGCACCACATAAAAATAAATAAGTAAAATAAAGATATTGAGAAAAAAGGACATTGTTAGGAGAATGAAAAGACAAACTGCAAGCTGAGAAAATATTTGCAAAACACACATCTGATAGAAAAACTTGTATCAAATATAAAAACTAAACAATAAGGAATGACTCGATAAAAAAGGGCAAAAGATCTGAAGAAGCACCTCTCAGAGAAGAAATGTAGATGGCCAGGAARCAAGCGAGAAGACCCTCAACATCCCTGACCTCAGGGAGCTGGAAATCAAAACAGCAATGAGAGGCCACTGTGTATCCCACAGCAAAACACAGTGACAATGCCAAACACTGGTGAGGATGCGGAGCCACCGAGATCCTCACCTATTGCTGGAAGGAATGAAAATGGTACAATCACTCCAGAAGATAGTTGGGCAATTTCTTCTAAGACCAAGTATAGTCTCACCATGGGATTCGGCAATCCTGCTCCCAATCAAGGTGAACATGTTTGTCCACAC